ACTTTTGTACACAAAAAGTGATATGCACAAAATCGAACAAACATGAAGACTGTTATATACAAAGACTGTTATATATACAAACTGTTATACATGACAAGAATTGTACAAAAATTAATGAGAGCTGCTTTACGCTTTCTCTGCTCAAAAACTGTTATATATAAATACTATAAAAAAAAGGTGAGAGAATAAACACATAAAATACAAAAATTGTTATACACGGCTTTAAATAGTATATTATTAATTTAACTTATAAAAAAAATTCCAAAAGAAATTTGACAGCAAAGTATAAAGTTGTATACATTCTGGTTAACAAATATATGAAAGCAATTCAGTATAGCTCTGGAATGTCAAATACAAGTTAAAGACAATATTAAATTTTCAGCTTATTCAATAATTCATCAACTGCTCCAGCCCCAACAATGGGAGGCCAGCAACAACAAAATCATACAATGCCAACTAAATTCAATTTGATAAGACGCGCACTTGATCAAACATTAATAACTTTGAAGCACTCTGCAATCCATTCTAGCTAGCGTCGAACTGAAAACTTTTGGGAAACTTGTTTAATGCGCAGCGTCGAGAATGTTGATTTACATATTTGAAAACATGAATATTGAGCAGTGGACGGCAAAGCTATTTGGGCAACACGAAACTTGTGAGTTCAGGGATTCGGGTCAGCGTTGCCTGGCAAACAATTTAAGTCTTTAAGTAAACTTTAAGCACTGGCTAAGAGCACAATAAAACCGAAAAATCGTTGCAATGTTTACATAATGCGCCGGCTAACCGGCGGATATACTAACTGATCCTGTCTGCCAGCCAACCAACACCTGCCGAGGCCTGGCGGTCAATGAGCACGCCTAAAAGTATACATTAAGTAAATTTGCAAGTACAATGAGAAGGATGGTGCGCCAAAAGTGGGCGTGGCTGATTGTAATTTAAAGTTTTCGTTGCGTGCGAATTTCGGCGCGCTCAATTCAATTCCACGGCCAAGTGGCAAGTGGCAACTGTGACGAGCCAAAAAAAACCAAAAACTAAAGTTGAGGGCCAAAGTACAAAGCGAAAAGGTTCTCCAAATTCCACACACACACACTCTCACACGCACCACCCAATCCCTAAGTGACTGAGTGACGTCGGCAGGCAACTGCTCCGCCTGCCTACATCACGCCCCCAACTCCAAACATCTTCCCAGCTGCGCTGTTTCATTTCACTTGCCGTTCCGTGTCAACGATGCCGCAGCACGCAAACTTATATGGCTCACATACGCACACTCGCACACACACACACAAACACATAATATGTTATAAAAATACATGGATGTATGTATGTGTATCTGTGTAAAATGTTTACATGTAAACACTCAGACCAATAGTTAGGTAATATATGTGTATACAAATTAAAAATAAAATAAATATCATCAATAAATAGAATGTAAAAAAGAAGCTATTTTATTCATATGAAAATAGTAAAATATACAAATCAAAATAACAAAAAAAAAAAAAAAAATACAAATATATATTTTATTTAGCAATACAGCAAATTATAATTAAAAAAAAAAATAGTGAATTACATATTTTTATTATAAATTATTTCAAATTTAACTGAAATTTAATAAAATTAAGAAAACTAGAAAAAATGGATATTATGCATCAATTATTATTATTATTTTCCGTAAGTGAAACATGTATAATTTTTTTTTTTTGTAATCTAAAAAAAAATATTAAAAACTGGTTTTAGTAATCAGACTTCTATAATTAACATATATTTAATAGATCAACAATTAGTTTTTAAATACCATAATTATTTTTGATTTTCTTCAAAATTTAAAAAGGCCTGAGACTTCTAAGGTAAGGCGTTTATTTTATGCAATTCTAATACCATCAATAATCTGATTTACCTACTCAATGAGTCTGCCGTATAACTTTACTAATTTTCTCTCAGTGCATCTGCCTTTTATGTACATATGCTTCGCTCATTGCTCGCGTAAACTCTTACAATTCATTATTTATTACTTTCACTGTCATGAAATTTGCTCAGCTTTTTGGATTCATTTTTCGGTAGCTAACCTTGAAGCCATCAACAACAAAACGCACGCACACTCAACACACACACTCTAAATGTATACGTTATGCTATAGATAAAGTCTGGGAATCTGACTATAAAGGGTTTCGTTAACGGCGCTAGGCTGATAATAAAATCTAACTCAATTATGAGCAGACGAGCAGACAGTAATTTTATCAAGGCGAATTGCATATACCTTGCCGATGTTTGGGTGGATATGT